ATATATATATATAAAAAAAAAAAAAAGATGGAGATATAAAACAATTGATTCAAAGATGTCGATTAGACGTGCATAAAAAATATTTCACATAGAATGCAAAATATGCACATTATGCACTCAAATAAATAGTTTGAGCTCATAGCCAGAATGAATTGCATCATTCACAGTGCTTCATGTGAGTGGGCGGAGCTCCTTTGGCATGATTTGCCCGTTTCTGTTCTCTGATTGGTGGAGATTTCTTTGCAGAATCATGGGTAATGATTGATGAGTTTTTCCCACCAGCAATTCTGCTGTTAAAAATATTACAATTATTTAAAAATAAGGCTTTAACAAAAGCACACCTTGTAGCTCACAGTAGCTCTATCTTTAAAGATTTATAAATTATTATTCAAAATAACTTCCACTATGGAGAAAATTAATGGTATTTTTACTTCTGTAACCTGATTGGCTGACATGTGTATTGTGGGCGGGGTTACCATGACAACTAAAATCACTTACAGCACCTTCAGATAATCAAAACGCATTAAAATTGCAATATTTGTGACTTGACACTTCTTGATTTCACAGATGAAAAAGGAAAAAAAAAAAAAAAGACACCACACACAACCGTTTGTGACTTTTAAATATTTTATTAGGCTATAATTTGCAGAGCTTAAAATATTAAATCGCTTTTAACTTAAAGTATTATTAAAATACATAAAACAAAAGCCAGAGCCGAGGAGCCCTGAAAAACGTCAACTAAATCCGAAACGAAAAGGAAAACAGAGAAATAAATTAAATAAAAGGAAAAGTCTGATCTTCTCGTGGCGACACAAACTCTCTGAACAGTGATGAAGGGAGAACTAAAACATCGGTCGCTCTTTTTCTCGCCCTCTCAGTCGCTCTAAGACAATAATCTTTGCAATCGACACGTAGAGACTAAGTGTACATTCTTTTCCATTCACAAATCGTCTTTTCAGAATGAGGTTAGACATGATTACAAGCCGTCCTCCGAACTCGGGACGTTCAGATTCAACAGCAGACAACGCAAATGTCCTTGTCATTCTCGAGGGAGAACGCGTGAAACCCAGGCCCTGGAGCCATAATGGCCGCCTGATTCACCTCGGCTCTCCTCTACAGTGGTTAACGTGCTAATATGCAACACAAGTCTGTCCCATATAAGTAGAGGGAGGATGGGATTGCTATATGATGAGTAAAGTGACACCGAGAGGCTTATGGGTGAGCAGGTAGCATTGACAGCTCTCTCAGTTCCTGAGTGCAAAAGCCTTGAACACACACACACACACACACCCCTTTTACCCTATAAAAATGGAAAAGAAACCTTTATACCGAACACGAGGACCAGGCCGACACCCTTATCAAACCAAGAGAGGGGAAACTGCTGCATCAAACGGAAAGCGTAAAACGGGAAGGAAACCGAAGCACGGTCAGGTTGTTCTTGGTTAAAGGGTTAGGCGGCTGCCTCTGAGGTCATTCGGCGAGAGCCTGGCGGAGCGCTCCGAACCGGGTCCTAAAGAGAGCAATGTTCTGGGAGGGTGAAGAAGGTCTGCGAGTCCCAGCAGTCCTTCTGAACCCTGGCTTGGCAGGTCAGAGACGCAGCGGCGCCGGACTCATCTCTCCGTCACGTGGTTCTGTGGCTGAGGAGGCAGCGGCGTGCACAGGGCCTCCGTCAGATCGTCCATTATCGACGTCTCCTTGGGGTCCATCAGGTTGAATTCCCTTATAAAAACCACGAAATGCGTGTAGAGTGTGTTTATGTGTCCGTGCAGGTCCATGGCCACCGTCTCCTTGTAGTGAGACCAGTAGATGTGAGCCAGAACGTGGAAGAGATACCTGCAGATTTTCTTCACCAGCGAGTGCTGGTAATTGCTCGCCTTCTGTTGGTGGCTTGTTAAAACCAATACATCCTAATGGAATAATGTCCCAAAACACACTACAGGAAACCATTTGTGACCTGTTCTGGCAAAACGAGTCACAATGAGCACATTTTCAAAAATGAGTTATTTTTATTTTCACTCTCTCCATTAGAAATGATCTATGATCCGTTGGAATCGGACGCTGTTTGAATTCGACAAAGACAGCAAAGTCAGTTTTCTGAAGGTTCCAAAGCAACATTACATTGTTTCAATGTTCCACTTCCTTTCTTAACATCAATCACTATATTAATAATCGCAATACAGCCGTTTTTAATTTGATCTTTGTTATTAAAAATAAGAACAGATGCACAAAAACAAGAACAACAGTAGAACAAATATAAGAAAGAAGCAAATAGGCCTAATGCATTACTTTTTTCATTTTACATCTAAACAAAAGCATTCAAGTACGAACAACAAATAATCAAAGGTAAACATCACAATACAAATACATTAACACTACAAAAGCAGTTTAATCAAAAGCAGCAATCTTTTCTTTTATTGTTTGATTAACATTAATGAGACAGACGGCCTATATTAAAACATACTGTACTGCACGGATCTAATATAATGTTTTTCCCCAAACGTTCTCTTGAGACATAACGGATTATGTTTATAATAAATAAAAAGAAAACATAGAAAAGAATAGAGCAAGCTAGTGTTAGAGGCCTTTTTTTTTGCTTTTGTTAATTGCATAATAAATACAAAGAAAACAAATATATAGAATACAAAAAGATTAGAGAAGCTAGTGTTCGTTTTTTTTAGTGTTCGTCGATTATTCCCTTGAAATTGTAATTGCAACTATTAATAACAATTATCACAATTTACATTGAATGATGTTTATACCATTGTTTGATGCAACTGCATGCCGTATTTTTATATGAAAATAAACAAGCTGAAAACACTCGAACTGAAAAACCTTTAGTGCTTTTCTATAGTATGAAGCCTCAAACGTCAACTACACATCGGATTGGTTTCTTCTTTAAATTATAAAAAAAGTAAAAAAATGAATGGTATTATAATGTTATGCTAACACTAAAATTAAAACAATGGAAAAACCCTTAAGATAACATGTAGAAACAAAAAAACGCATCTTTTTACGCGAGCAGAATAACATAAGTGGACTTTGAACGATTAATTGCCGCTTCGAACGATTACGTAATTGTGACCTCCATAATTGTT